TTCACCCACCTATCAGCAGACAGTTATGTGCCACTCTTGGCTGAGTTCTCTCACATGGAAGGGGCTTGGGGAGCTATGAGGCAGCCTAGGCTAGCCTTCAATGAGAAACCTGGATTTCCTCCACATGTTTTTTTTATCTTCCAATGAGTGACTCAGGTTTGGTCTTAGAATCCTGTCAAATGTGTGCAAGAGAGAAAGAAAAGGACCCTTCAACCTTAGCTCAGGGTTGGCACATCAGTCCTTTGGCTACATCCTTTGGTTTGAGCAAGGTCACCACAGTTTTAAAGCTTGAGGAAATGGGTTGTACCCCTTGTTGGTAAACCTCTCAAAAATCACATCACTCTGGGAGAGGATGGGAGGAAAGTGTAAGAAAACTGTGTACTATCAATCTGCTCTGGATTACCTGATTTGAAGAAGTTTTCAACGGTGGTTTATTTCTGCTGGTTTTGAAAGCTATTTTAAAATGGGTTTATTTACACATTTATTTTATCTCCATTTATGACTCCTTCACAGTTGGGAGCTGCATCTCATTTATTGTTTGGGCCTCGGGTTGCTCAGCACGCTAGACATATCTCAAAATAGAAGCATCCTAAAAACCAAGGCAAGGCAGCAAAGAGACACAGAAGACTTTCAGATGCAGACTGACCTCAAGAGATTCTCTCTCTCGTCATTCAGGTTGGCACGACCCTCTCTGAATGGAAGGACAGTGAGAACAGGCACCAGAGCGCTGACAGCAGCCTTCTAGTCTAGACTCACCGCCGTTCCTAAGGCTCAGGCTTTCAACTTCCCACTTCTCCTCAGAGGTCAGCCATCTTCCCAGTTCCTCTTTGCTTCCCTGCCTGCCTTTCCTCACTGTGGCAACTTCACACTTGGCTAGTAGCAGAAATGACTACGTCTTTCTTAGTCATTGAGCCCAGAGGCACAGAAGATGGCTTCCACCTTAAAGTGATCCTCTAATCAAGGAGTTTCTGGGAGAACTGACTCGTAGTGTGGGGAATGCTGGCTCTCTGGTGCTCCCTGGAGCTCTTGCTGGTGCTCTGTTCATCAGTGCACCTAAGGCCTTTAGACACCCTGATCCCGTCCACTTTTCATGTCCCATTCCGTCTTTCTGATATTGCCACGTTTGGGGACAGCAAAGGCAGTCCAGTAAAGGGCGGACTGCACTGAGAAGGAGAAACGGGGAGACAACCCTGCATGGATTTGCATGGATTTGCTGGTGGTGAGCGCTCTCCACTCTGCAGTTCACACTTCAGATTTGGAATGAATCTTGCTCCCACCATGAATCTCCTCATTACTATTTGAGGCCTTGGTTTGCAGAACTCTGTAGTGAGGGCTTTTCTTATTAGGACACATCCTTATGGTTCTCTTGATGTGGTTTAATTCTCCAGTCACAAAGCTGAGAAAGAACCTGGCTTTAGTTCCCTGGAAACCTCCTTTTAAAGAAAGTGCACGTAGACCATCCTTGGCCCTCTGTAAATTTTGGATATTTTCTAGCTCAGTTAGCAGTATATTGCTTTTCAGATACACCCTGAGCCTCTGTCTATGAATCTGTCTCCTTTATCTTGATGTAGCCATGGCTTTGTGACTTTGGGATAATCTGATAGCTCATTCCTTCTGGCCATTCATCCTTCCCATCCATGGAGCTAACTTGACTGGGGTTCTGTGAAGCTACCTACCCCTCATGGTGATTGTTTCCCCATAACCCTCAAGCATCCTTCCTCCCTGAATTCCAGTCACCCTTGAAACTGGGCCTTCTCATCAGAAAAGAGAAGGAGTTTTGTCTACCTTGCTTCTAGAAGTGGGGAGATCCCCTACTCCAAAATCAGTTGTTTTATTTCTTCATAATCAAGATGTATTTGAAAATTCATGAGTCTGTTCTCTCTTAAGACTGCCTAGAAATGGTTATTGGACCTGAAAATTTATAACATGCTTCAGGAAAAGAGAATGTGTTTCTATAAATTCTTTTAGATCAAAGGGACGAAAACTCAACTGTACCTCGAGCAAAATGCAGAATGTATTGATCCATATAAGCCAGGAAGAAATTGAATACAGGGACTTGGCTATATATTACACATAATTCACATAATATATATATATATACATATATATATATATATATATATACATACACACACACACATACATATATAACATAGGTAGTAACGACAAGGAAGGAGGCGATTTCATTGTTTCCAAACCCACTCTGTTGTCTTTCCTCCCCAGAGATTTTGTAGTTATTTTCATATTTAAACACACACACTCACACACACACACACACACACACACACACACACACACACACACACACACACGGACTTTGGGGAGAAGGTTTCATTGGCAAAGCATGAGGTCCCGAGTTTGGTCTCTATCATCCACATAAGAGCAGGGTGTAGCATCCCAGGTCTCTAATTCCAGTGCCCAGACGCTGGAGACCATGATCCCTGGGTTGTAAGCTGATATGGTCTTGTGAAATCAGTGAGCTTCTGGTTCAGCAAGAGACCCTGTCTCAAAAACTAAGCTGAGCAGTGATTGGCAAAGACAGCCAATGCCACCCTCTGGCTTCCATACCCTGTGTGCGAGAGAGAGAGAGAGAGAGAGAGAGAGAGAGAGAGAGAGAGAGAACACAGCCAAAAACTTACACTTAAGAAAAATGCTAATTTCATCCCTCTAACAAAACATGAAGTCTCTGCCACAAGGGGAAGGGCACAGAAGTTCTTCTTCCCCTCTGGTCTTTCTGCCCCTCGATGGCCAGAACCTGAGAAGTTCCACTATAGCGGAAGAAAGCGTAGGACTGGCTCTGTCGGAGCCCAAGGCAGGCATTTCCTAGGTGTGGCGAATGTGAATGGTCTGCTCCATGTGAGGGAGGAGTTTCCTTAACTGTGTTTCCTAGAGTGGGAAATCCTGTTTCCTCCTGAACATTCACATCGCGCCAGCAACCCTCCATGTTTAGGAATCCATGTCTTACACTCAGCTCTTGAACACAGGCAGTAGGAACTTAACTGCTCTCCTTCTTAGGGCAAGAAGATGGCGGAAATAGAGCTGTGTGGCACATTGCCACACCTCTTTATTGCTGCTAAGTCATCCCCCTGGTACTTCCAGCCTCCCATTGCTACCCAAACACCACTGCTCACCTTCGGATGGCAGACTGATTCTGGAGTCCAGCCCCTACACCAACAGGCAGCTATCCGTGGGTAAGGGATGCAGTTTGCGCACACACAGTTCAGTTATCCGCGAGTATTCCTCAAACCTTTCTTACTGAAGGGTGGAGTCAGGGCAGCAGGGAAGGGAATAACACCTATCGGAAGAGCTGGAGCCAGAAAGTTGGGTCTCCCCACACAGCACATTCAGGGGTAGCACTGAGGGGTGCCTGACAGTTCTAAATTCAAACCTAGACATCGAAGTGTTTGTGAAATCGCATTTGTGACGCTGAGGAGACAGAATGTAAGCCTCCTAAGTTAGAGCGCTTCGCCCCCTGCTCGTGGTACCTGGCTGCAGGGAGCAGATGGGTCAGTTGGGTTCCCTTATCTTTGCACAGGGTTATGGGGATGGCTCCAGTGAGGTAGCCGCTTCTGACTCCTCCTCCGGTGCCCCGTTCTGCCTACAGGAGAAGCTCACTTTGCCCGCTTTGGAGAAGCAGGCTTTTCTCCATTGACTACCTCTCCACTGCCTCCCCAAGGCCACTGAGGCTGTCAGGGTCACTGCCTTTTGGTCCCCAATTTATCTAGGTGTGGACCGAGGGCCATCCTTCTCCCTCCAGCTCCAGAGCACACAGGAAAAACTTCCTGACTGATGATTTGACTGACGCCCCTCGCTTTGCTCAGGAGGAGAGGGATGTGCCTTCTAGCTTTACAGGGAGTTTAGGAGGGAGCACGTGGTTTGCTTACCCCACCCCGCCCCACCCCAAAACCTATGCTATGAGCTGCAAGCATAAAATTTGATCCAATTGTCATCAACAAATACAGTCGTCACTATAGTCACGATGATCCATGTCCATCATCCCCCAAATGTCCTCGTGCCCCTCTGTGACCAAGAGCCTCTGGTCCGCTTCCTTAGTTTGTATGTTCTAGATTTCTCTATATATGGAGTAAGTCTGCTTTTTTAATTTTTGATGAGTTCTTTCAAAATAATTTTTAAAATCAAAATATAATTGCATCATTTTCTGCTTTCCCTTTCCTCTCTCCCACCCCTCCCATGTACTTCTCTCCAACACACACACATAAATTCATGGTCTCTGGCCTCTTTTATTTTTTGATTGTTGCTACACACACACACACACACACACACACACACACACACACACACAAACACATGCACACAATCTGCTCAGTCTGTATGTTATTTGAATATACGCAATTTCAGGACTGGCCACTTGGTGTTAGACTAGGAATCTCTTCCCTGGAGAACACTGTTTCTCTAGCTCTGTCTGCATCCCTTAGTAGCCTGTAGTTCTTTGTGCAGGGGGTGGGGCCTGTGAGATTTCCTCCTTCCATGTTGTCACATCTGTTAGTGTTGTCCTTGTTTAGATGCTGTTGGGGCAGCCATGTTGATAAGACTCCATGGATTCAGCTTCCTGGCATTTCTAGGAGACACAGTCTCCCAGCAGACACCCCAGTCCTCTGGATCTTAGAATCCTTCCTGCTCCTCTTCTGCTGTGTTGTAGGAGCTTTAGGTGAAGAAGTGACATTGTAGATGGTTCAGCTGGGCCCGGTACCACATAACTACTTCTCTGCATTTTGATTGGCTGTGGTTTTCTGTAATGGTCTCTGTCTGTTACATGGAGAAATTTCTTTGTTGATGGTTGAGAGCTACACTTCTCTGTGGGTATAAAGGTAAATATTTAGAGTGTAGTTAGGGATTATGGTAGTGTAGTAAAGTGGTGGTTGTAGCTTTTCCCCAAGATCTGTGACCTCAGGAGGCCCAGAGAGTGGGCTAGATTTCCAGTACCAGGTGCGATTTCTGTCTTGTCGAACATGTCCTAAGTATTTTGAGATTCATCCAGGTTGTTTTTGGGGATCGAAAAGTTTGTCCTATTTAATTTCTTGGTCTCCCATTGTATGGATATGTCATGGCCTACTCTCAAGTTAATGGAAAATTTAGTTGTTTTTGGTTGGCAGTTATTACACGCAAACGTAAAATGCACATTTGAACAAGATTTTTTGTGAGATTACATTTTCAGTTCTCTTAGTTAAACACCTAGAAATGGATGGTGGCGTGTATGATAGCAGTACGAAACACTTTGGTCTGCAGTGTTTAAACTCCAACGGTGACACAGCCTGCTCTGTGCTTCGGTGTGTCCGACTCCCAAGGCACCGTCACTGTCAGAGCCTTCCATGTGTTAACCAACATCTCCCCTATGTAACTTAGACGTGGATCACAAACTAGTACTCAACGTCAATACCATTAAATGAGGAAAGGATCCCTGGACACAGGTCCTTTTAGAATCGATGGGGGTTCTGCTAAGAGATGGAGACGTAAAAGCCAGCATCTCCCGCACCACTAACATATCCTCGAAGGAACAGTTCAGTACACACTTGTGGATGTACAGGTCCATTGTCCCTGGCCAAGTCACAGCCAAACTGAAGCCCTGGTCTTCCCCAGAAATTGTTCCTATGTCTTTTCCTTGTTGTTTTTGTTTATTCTTTTGAGAATTTCATACAATATATTTGCAACCTCTCATCAGCAAGGGCTTTCACGCCCTCCATTCCAGGTCAAAAAATATTTAGAACAGTAACTTCCCTCACTGGGTCATAGGTCATATTCTTGCTAGTGGCTTCTGAGTTTCATTTCTCCCCAAAGAAGGTGCTGATGAAAGTTTGGATTCCCGAGTTTGTTCTGGAGGGTGGCCACAGAAAGCTCTGTGAGGGCGGGGGAGGTGTGGCGGGAGGGGCCACAGACAAGGAATGGCTGTTGGCATCCTGGCTCCGTCACACTGTGGAGTGCAGTGCAAGCAGCACTTCGGTGTGGGGGGAGGGGAGGGGTTGCTCCTCAGCTGTCACCTTCTGCCTTTCCTGGCTGAGAGTCCCCTCAGGGATACCGCCACTAACTCTTCCTTGGCATGGAGCTGGCGAAACACTTTCTGCAGCCAGCTGCTCCCTTTGGCCAGCAGCTCAAGGGCAGTGTCTTAGTTAAGACTTCTATTGCTGTGAAGAGACACCATGACCGCAGCAACTCTTATAAAGGAAACATTTAATTGTGGTGGCTCGCTTACAGTTTCATCATGGGGTTGGGGAGAGCATGGTGGCATGCAGGTAGACGTGGTGCTGGAGCTGAGAGTCCACCATCTTGACTCAGAGACCACAGGAAGTCCACTGGCTGTCACACTGAGTGAAGCTTGAGAAAAAGACCTCAAAGCCTGCCCCCACAGAGACCTACTTCCTACAGAAGGTGTGGCCTAGGCTAAAGATGTGGCCTTCAGCCTCAAGGTCTGGATTAATGGTGTGTGCCATCCAGCCTCCTCCAACAAGACCACACTTCCTCCACTAAATCCACACCTCCCAATAGTGCCACTCCCTGTGAGCTTATGGGGGCCAATTACATTCCAACAGCCACAGGGAGCCAAAAGGGAAAACTTTCCTTGGGAGTCTGGGGATAGAGTTCGGTGTCATGGGAAGGCTAGAAGGAGAGTTGCAGCATTAGACCAATGACATCATATGACATCTAACCTCCCCTAGGGCCACCTCTGGAGTAGGCCAAGGGGAAAGGGGTCAGGGGAATACTTTTTTTGTGGGTAGCAGGGTAGAGGTGGTGTTGATGGTGTTGGGTGGGTCTATCCTCTGGCGCTTAGTGATGACTGTTGGTAGGACATAGTAAGCTTCAATCTTTGTTTTTGCTTCAAAAGACTTACAGTGGAATCCAAACAGTAGTCTCCGTGTAACTTTTTACTCTAGCCCATAATTGCTCATTCCTGACACTTTCTCAAAGATGCCCAAGGAGTACCCACCTCTCCTTCTTTCTGTGTTCAATTTCATCCTTCGGGGAGAACTTTCAGTCTCCAATATTAAAAACCACATTTTTGGAGAGCTGCATTCTATACTGAGGATTCACAGACAACGAAGCAGGCTGGGAAAAGTGCAGTTTGCACAGCTTTCTGCCTGCCAGGTCGAAAGCCTGGGTGTCCACACAGGAAAACGGGTTAGCTTCGGTTTCTCCTTTGCTCGCTTTGATTCTAGAACATATCCTGAGGGCTTAATCATCATCTCCTGATATTAAATAGCTCCTCTCTTGACCCACAGTGACAATTTTGGAGAGAGCTGCCTGTTTTGGCCCCAGACTCCTGATCCTCATCCAGACCTTACGTTTATCAGAGTCCAGGTGGGTCGCCATCCTTAGGCCTCTCTCTCTGTACCCTCTTGGTTTTTGTTTGTTTGGTTTTGGTGGTGCTTTGTCCAGTCCTGAGATTTGTATTTCCAGTTCCCATCTGCCATACCTTCCCATGAATTCTCAGTTATAGAGAATTTATTTCAATTTCTCCATAATTTCATTTTCTAAGGCCAATAACTCACCCACTCACATCCCTACTGGTCTTGGATTTCTTATCAACTTGACATGTGTGTTTACTTCTTGTCTTTGGGTTTGAAATCATGTTTTGCATCGTTTCTCTGGCCTGGTCTCCTAGACTGTAGTTTCTACCCTGAAAATGTTGGCTTCTCGGCCCCACGAAGCCTTTCTTTGTGGAGAGGCCCCGACACAGGCTCCAGCCCTCTGCACACTGTCCTTCCTTCCTGCCCGTCCCCCCACCACCAAGCCTGCTGCCTTCCACTGTAGAACTGCCCCCCTAATTAGTTGGTACATCATGCACCATGTGTAGAAGTGATGTGAACTTATACACTCACCAGCTTCTACCCGCCAACCGTAGCGTCAGCCATAGGTCTTGCCTGGCTTTTGTGGTAATAGCTGATAAAGGAGGATGTTTTCCAGCCATTCCTGCTAACCTGTGCGATTCATTTTCTATAGGAAGGATTCCCTCCTGCCATGCAGACATCTGCTCAATCTATGATGCCTATGGAGACTGGCTCTGAGTTTCTTGTTTTATTCAGTGGGTTGTAATCCATGTTGATATTGTTATTTTGAAGTTCAAGTTGCCAAATGTGGCCATTAGGAGATCCTACATTTGTGATTCCTGCTGTCCTCTTCGTCTTCAGCTTAGTTTGCATCACGTGATAAGGTGCTCCGGATTTAGCTTTACGCAGGTCTTGTTTCTTCTGGACATTTGTGGATTGGTTATGTGTGTGTGTATCTATATGTGCATGTATATGTATGTATATGTATGTATATGCATGTATATGTATGTATATGCATGTATATGTGTGCATTTGTATGCATAGATATGTGTATATATGTGTATGTGTATAAATGTGTAGGTATGTCTGTGGTGGTATTGTGTTCCCAAAAATATTGTGCACCCTAATAAACTTATCTGGGGTCAGAGAACAGAACAGCCACTAGATATACAGGCCAGAAAATGGTAGCACACACACCTTTAATCCTAGCATTCCAGAGGCAGAAATCCATCTGGATCTTTGTGAGTTCAAGGCCACATTGGAAACAGCCAGGCATGGTGACACAGGCCTTTAATCCCAGGAAGTGATGGCAGGAAGATATATAAGGCATGAGGACCAGGAACTAGAGCTGGTTAAGCTTTTAGGCTTTTGAGCAACAAACAGTTCAGCTGAGATTCATTCTGGATGAGGACTCAGAGGCTTCCAGTCCGAGGAAACAGGATCAGCTGAGGAATTGGCGAGGTGAGGTGGCTGTGGCTTGTTCTGCTTCTCTGATCTTTCAGCGCTCACCCCAATAACTGGATCCAGATTTGTTTTTGTTAATAATACCTTTTAAGATTCATGTTGCATATGGCACCCAACATGGGGCCATTCGTAGATGATCTGCTTCTGGGTCAGGTTCGAACATAGCAGAGCAGCTCCCTCACTGCGATCTATTGAAAGTCAGCCCTCAACACAGGGTGCGGCTGGAAAGGGGGCCACCCTCTCGCCCATCACATGAACGCACGCTGTGTGTATGTATGTATGCACATTTCTGTGTATATGTATGCATATTTCTGTGTATATGTATACATCTGTGTGTATGTTTGCTTGTGTGTATGTGTGTCTGTGTATGTGCTTGTGTGTATGTGTGTGTATGTTTGTATGTGTATCTATGTGCCCATGTATATTTTTGTGCATGTGTGTACATGCATGTATGTTTATGTGTATGTGTGTATATGTATTTTTGTATGTGCATATGTGTATCTCTGTGTATATGTTTGTATGTGTCTCTGCGTATATGTTTGTTTGTATATGTATGTGTGTATAACCATGCATGTGTGTATATGTGTGTATGTGTGCACAGCCTATATTTTGTCCACATTTGAAAACATTTACCAGCTGCCCTTGGAACTGTGAATTCTCCTTTCTTCTGGAAGCTGCGTTGCAGTGTTGCAGGGTCTGTTTTTGGCTGTTTGTCCTCACACTTTCGGTTTTCTTCTTTCAGATGGAGAAACCCGGGTCCCAGTGATGACTTCTCTGGATGCCCTGCACATAGCTGATTACCCAACCCTACCTGGACTTGTTGCTTAGACCACTTGCCTCAATGGCTTAATGATACAGGCAGGAAGGGAGCCGGCACACTTTTCACAGAAGTCAACAGTAACAAGAGAGCGGTGCTAAGAATTCCGCCAAACCATGTTTGTTATCTCCACTTCTTTTTTCTTAGATAACTGCATCTTCCCAACTTTTCAGTTATTCTGAGTGATAGAACCGACCCTGTCCTCTGCTCTCTGTGTCACGGGCTGCTTCTATGCAGCCAATGCTCTGTTGCTTTCGAGCATGGATGGAACAGCAGATTACGCTGTGAAGAGAACAATTCCTGGTTTGGTCCAAATAGGTTCAGATTAGGCTTTACAAACAGGCACCCCCAAAACCCCAGAGCCCTGACCCTGGGAGCTGACTCCACTCCTGCTTTGTCTACACATCTCTGGGCAGCTTCTTGGCAACCCAGGCTGCATTTCCTGCCATCTCGGTGTTCTCATGAGGAACATGGCCAAAGGAAGAGATTGCCACAGACTGACATCAGGCTTTTCAGTTTCTACCAGAAAGTAAATGGTGTCAGGCATGCTCACATTCAAATGAACAAATCCTCCCAGGAGGTAGAAAATACATCCCTACTATGTGTCTTCAGGAAAACTGAAGAAGAGCATTGGTGACTCCCAAGGATGACTGAGACAGCTCTGTCCTGCAGCTCTCGCTCTCCTATTGGCTGATCTTGTGCTCTTCCTGCTGACAGACCCACAAATCAGGAAACCAAGCTCATGGCCTCATTCTAGAGGGAAGCAGTGGGAGTGTTTAAAATGTAAATTATTACATAAAAGTGAGTGTGGTGTAATTCCCATTTCCAGTAATCACATCTGTCCTCGTATGAACAAAATAAACTTCCTGGGGTCCTGTGCACTGGCCCAGCGGATTTAACGTCACCATTTTCCTATACAAAGCAATAAATGCCCAATTTGCTCATGTGGTGTGTGTGTGTGTGTGTGTGTGTGTGTGTGTGTGTGTGTGTGTGT